AAGAGGGAGTCAAGCTATTCTCTGAAGCACCTGAGGGTAGGACAAGAAGCAATGGATGTAAACTAATCAAGGAGAAAACCAACCTAGAATTAAGGAGAATTTTCCTGACAGTGAGAACAATTAATCAGTGGAACAACTTGCCTCCAGAAGTTGTGAATGCTCCAACACTGGATGTTTTTAAGAAGATGTTGGATAACCATTTGTCTGAAGTAGTGTAGGGTTTCCTGCCTAAGCAAGGGGTTGGACTAGAAGACCTCCAAGGTCCCTTCCAACTCTGCTCTTGTATTGTAAGTCTTCATGTGTGGGTGGGGTTGTATGTGTTGGACCTCGTCCCAGTTCATCTTTCCTTTACAAATTCCCAGTTGGAGCAGAATAAATCCCATTATATCATCATTTTCATTTAACGACCCCATAACCCCTTGCAGGGTAGAGTCTAGGCAAATGAATGCCGCAAGCAGGGTGTTTTAATGGCCGGATGCCCTTCCTGTCGCCAATGCGGAGTTTTGTTCAGCAGATATATTCTCAAGTGTGCCCAGAGAGAGAAATAACTGCCTCTACCTAGGAGGTGTCAGCCAACGGAGCCACTCTCCCACTCTCTGTTGGCTGTTCGTCTTCCATTTCAGAGTCAGGGCATGACACAACCTGAGGATGCTAAACAGATCTCTAATTGTCTGCTGGAGAAAGTCAGGCTTTGGTATAGTGTGTTGTGGTCATCTACCAGCACATTCCTTGAAACCAGCAATTATTTTCCTCCATCACTGCAGTGGCCTGCATCTTTGGACAATAGGAGGGGGGAGAGCCCAGTAGAGTTCCCAGTTCCCCAATATATATCACGCTCCATAATATTGAAACCCAAAGGTGCTTTTTCAAGAGGCAACTGGACTTTATGGTTTTTCTTTGAAGATGTTTGGCTTCTCATCCAAGAAGCTGGTGCTTCTTTTTTTCAATAAAGTTTTTTTTATTTTTATACATCTTGTTGCGTGAATGGTTTGATTCCTGTGTGTCATACAGTTCAATACCAATAAACATAACAGTATTATTCCTACTAATTACATTTCATTTTCATTTTTTAGTTTTACTAACACGTAATTTCTAGGATCATCCTTCACTTCTAAACCTTCTCATAGTTCTGCCATATGTTGTATCATCTCTTTTTGCTATTTTCCCCCTCTTATTTCTAGCTCTATTTTAGCCCCCCCCTTTTCCCCCTTCCCCTATCATTCTAATATTCAGAGACGTGATCCATCCTTTTTTCGTTATTCAATATTTCAATATGCACTTCTAGCATCAATCATGATCTTTCAAGCATTTATCAAATTACTTAATGCTAGCTTTTCACTGTTAATCACATGTTTCTGCATATTTAATAATACCCTTATGCAAATTCTGTTTATCTAATTGACAAACTATTTTTCAGCCTAAGAAGCTTCTTTAGCTTCTTCAGTTGCCTCTTGAAAAAAGCACCTTTGGGACAACCATGGATGACTGAGACTCTCCATAGACGTCATATTTAGACGTTTCGTAGAATGGTGTGTCTGGTGAGCAATTAGGTAGAGGGATAGAGAGACAGAAATAGAGAGAGAGAGAGAGAGAGAAATACAGTAGATAGGTAGGGAGAGAGGGAGAGTAGGTAAGCAGGAAGATGTTTCCTGGTGTATTTATCCATGTGCTGGAGAAGGAAATCGCTGACAATCTGCAGCACCTAAGACTTT